AAAAAAATAGTCGGGGATCTCTTGGTATCCTCACCACATACACTAGGGATCCCTTGGTATCCCAAGGATCTCTTGGTATCCTCATTATATTCACATGGGATCTCTTGGTATCCCGAGGATCTCTCGGTATCCTCATTATATTCATTAGGGATCTCTTGGTATCCCGAGGATCTCTTGGTATCCTCATTATATTCACTAGGAATCTCTTGGTATCCCGAGGATCTCTTGGTATCCTCAAATATTACAATCTCATGTGCCAGGGATCTCTTGGTATCTTGCACCCTCAGTCCAGATCATATCAAGTGCAGGGGGATCTCCCGGGAGGGCAACCCGTAGTCCCTATTTAAAAACACACAATAACAACCCAAACATTAGGAAAGATACTAACTCAAGACAAGAAATAGAAAATACTAGCCAAACATACTACGCAGAGTACAAATAGGATAGTTTAACACTTAGGCAAGCAAGTCAAATGAACATGCCTCTCTAAACTAGCATAGAATAAATTCACAATTTAAAATGAATAGGTAAGCAAGAAAATTCAATTTAAATACTTCAAGTAAAATCGAATTTTCAACAAATTGCTCAAGTACGCGCTCGTCACCTCACGTACGCGACATTCAATTAACGAATATCATATCCTAAGGGGAAGGTTCCCTCCCCTCCCCCCCCCCCCAAACAAGGTTAGACAAGCCACTTACATCAATCGGCTCCTAAATCAACTTGAAATCACTCTTTTGCCACGAGTATCCGACTCCAAATGGCCCAAATCTATTAATTTCAATTACATCTCATAAATAACATCTCAATCAACTAATTCTACTATTTAATTTACAGCTAACACGTAAATTTAGGTAAGATGATCAAAACGCCCCTCGGGTCCACGTGGTCAAAACCCGATGTTCGAACTAAAATTCGATTACCCATTCCTCCACGAATCTAATTATGTGATTAGTTTTGAAATCGGACCTCGAATTGAGGTCCAACCCCCAATTTTAGCAAAACCCTATGTCCTACCCAATATACCCAAATTTTCCCATGAAAATCTTCGATTTGACGTTGAATAATGTTAAAAGGTGTTAAGGAGTGAAGAAAATGAGTTACCAATTCTGCCTAGAGTGAGCTGAACGAATCCTGTCCTAAATGATCTTGACCTTGTCCAAGGCCTCCTGAACCAAATCTGTACCTAGCAACTGAGCCTCCCCCGCTCAAATCATCCAACCAGTGATCGACATCGTCTACCATATAAAGCCTCGTAAGGAGCCATCTAAATGCTCGATTGGTAGCTATTGTTGTAGGCAAACTCCGTTAATGGCAAGAACTGATCCCGAGACCCTCCAAAATCAATCACACATACTTGGAGCATGTCCTCAAGGATATGGATAGTACGCTCGGACCGTCCGTCCGTTTGGGGGTGAAATGTTGTATTCAACTCTACCCGAGTAACCAACTCCTGCTGCATGGCCTTCCAGAACCGCGATGTGAAATGAGTACCTCTGTTTGAAATAATAGAAACTGGAATGCCATGAAGACGGGCGATCTCCCGGATATATATCTCCGCCACCCCTCCGATGAATAAGTCGTACACACAGGGATAAAATGAGCGGACTTGGTCAGCCGATCCACAATGACCCAAATGGCATCAAACTTCTTCAAGGTCCGTGGGAGTCCCGATACAAAATCCATGGTGATGCGTTCCTATTTCCATTCATAGATTTTCTTTTATATTAGCTAGAAAGATGGAGGTGAAAAATTAATTAAAAACTATAATAGAAAAATAAAAATATATAAAGCGTAAATTGAGATAACCTGTGATTATTTTGTACTTTGGATTAAGTTAAAGTGTAAAATGAAACTAAAATTTACTTAAGAAATTAAAGATTTATTAAGTTTAAAAAATAAATAAATTCAAGCTGCAAAATAAGATCTTACATAAAGTATATAGATTATTTATAAGGTAAGAGAAAAATTAAATAACCAGTAAAAGATATTTTAATAACAAGAATAATAAATTCATATTAATATTGATAAATCGTGCAAACGAATATTTTATACGTAAATATTATCACAACATTAGATATAATGTGTTTAGCAATTAAAAAAATATTTTTCTATAATTAATATTTGAATTGAGTTCGGTTAGTTTTGAAAGCATAACATAATTTTTTGAAAATAGTCCAGTTAAGAAAATAGAATGATAAAGTATATTTGAATTTGAGATGAGAAAGTTTTTTAATTTTTATCTATATTATATTAGAATGAGTGTGATAAAAATAGATATTAAATTCAAACAAGCTAATAAAAATTCACATGACAATGTAATAATATTAGGTATTGAATAATATAAAATAAAATAAAGAAAAAATAGAGAAAAAAATAAAAGTTTAGATTTTTTATCATAAGAAAAAGGGTAGAACTTATTTAATTTGAGATGACAAAGTTTTTTATATCATGAAAAGAAAAGTCATAATATAAGATCATATAACTCAAGTCTAATGGTAAAATAAAAATCTAAAAACATTGAACAATAAAAATAAATTAAAGATAATGTAAGGACATTTATAAATTATAAGTTTAGAAAATAATATAAAATAAATATAAATTTTCGAGCAATATTTTTTTAAAAAATAAATATTTATTTATAATTAAAAAATATATATTTATCTTATATTATTAAAGAAAGTTAGTTAGTTATAATGATATTAAATAAAGTTACAAGTTAATGAAAAGCCACATAAAATACAATAGGACTATATACTAGAATAAAAAAAATCGCAAAATTATGTTAAATTATTAGAAATTTACTATTAGAAATGAAAAGAAAAGGCTATTTGAATTTGAAATTAGAAAGCTCTTAGAATGCTCAAAAATCCTTCTACTGTCGGTACTTTATGTCTAACGTCTAATTCCTAAATACGCACACTTGGACAGAACCAGCACGTGATCATGTGAATAGTCAGCTCTTTTGTGGTAGTAACTTTTGAAAAAATGAGAAATATTTGGGGATGTAGAGAGAGAAATATTTGAGAGAGAGACCTCGCGACGGAAAGCAAGCAGCTATCCACCGCCAGCCACCACCACCACCTCCGCAATTACTCACCCTCACTGTAAAAATGGCTAGAATCGTTACCCCAGAGAGTGGAATTCCTCAAACCCTAAACCCAATACCACTACTACAGTGGTTCCCGGGTATGGGAAGCGCTCCAACTGTACTGCAAACACTATCGGAGAAGGAGGAAGAACGAAAGCAATCGAAGGAAGCAGCAATGGTCGCAACAGCTAGAAATCTCACATATTCAGTCGAATCTCAAAAACAAACTTTTGCTGAAGTGATTACAGGCAACAGAAACCAGAAGCAGGGCATGCAACTCAAATTCTACTCGCCGGTGGTCAAAGATGGAATGAAAATCGCCAAATTAAACCCCAAGGAGATAGAAATTCAGACACAGAAATGGAAGACAGCTTCTATAGGATATGTGCTCGGAGGTAATCCTAATTTCAAAGATATGCTAAAATTTGTATATAGAGTTTGGAATACTATAACTGCACCGACTGTACTGTTACATGATGACGGATATTTCATTTTTAAGTTCGAATCGACGGAGGATAAGGACCTAATAATGCAACAGGGGCCTTACACCTTCAAAGGCAGACCTATGATATTGAAGGATTGGGATCCCAATTTCAAAATCCAAAATGAATCAATGCGAATTGTGCCAATGTGGGTCAACTTCCCAGGATTACCAATCCAGTGTTGGGCAGAAGAAAACCTAGGGAGAATAGCAAGCCTAATTGGCAAACCTATATGTACTGACAAGCTCACTGCTGAATGTGAAAGGATATCTTTTGCGAGAGTTCTTGTGGAAATGGATATCAGCCAGCCATTACCTGTTGAAGTACATATTGAAATCCCGGATGGAAGAAGTTGGACTCAATCAGTGGAGTATGAATGGAAACCAGCTTTCTGCTTAGACTGCAACTCTTTTGGGCATAAAAATGGAGAATGTCAACAGAAAGAGAAGCAGGACCATATAACACAGAATAAGAGAATGAGAAACAGAAAGAAAAACACAATGCAATGGCAGCCAAAACTTGTACTGGAAGAGGAGCATACCAAACAACATCAAGAAGAACAAAACAGTTGCACTTGAGGTGAAAATATCATTGAACAGTCGAGGGAAACAGGTAGCAACTGTAAAAAGCCCTAAGGCCAAAGGGGAGATCAACTATAAGGAATTTGGCCACCAGGAATGCAGCTGCTGTTTTAAATATCCATGAACCTGCTGACCAACAACAGGAAAGCAGAAGAGAAGCAGCTATTAGGGATAAAGGGGGCAGTTCCAACATCCACCCATCATGATCCTTGTGTCATGGAATATTAGAGGACTGAATAAGTCCTATAAACAGAGAGAACTAGTGAAATTCCTGAGATTAAATAAAGTTAATATGATAGCTTGTCTTGAAACAAAGGTGAAACAGCAGCACTCCCAGACAATATACAAGAAGTTTGGGGATGAATGGCATATAGAAAATAACTACATTGCTGCCCCAAATGGGAGGATTTGGTTAATGTGGAAAAAGCTAAACATCCAGGTTGTAATCCTAGAAACAACTGACCAGATGATACATTGCCAAGTGACAGACAGAAATTCAATATTTGCAAGCTACATAACTTTTGTCTATGGATTACATTCAATACAGCAAAGAATAACCTTGTGGAGAAGCTTAAGAACTGCCTAGTACAGTGGTCCATGGCTGATATTGGGTGATTTTAATAGTGTACTGGAGATGGATGACAGGATCAATAGGCAACCTGTACACCAATCAGAGACACTTGACTTCCAAAGCTGCATTGAGGACATTAAAGTAGGGCAGATAACCAAAAGAGGCAACAGATTCTCTTGGAGTAACAAGAGAGATGCTGAGGACAAAATTTACAGCCATATTGACTGGGCATTTGGCAATGATGAATGGTTCAAATCCTATACTGATGTGGAAGCAATGTACATGTTGCCCGGATGCTCAGATCATTCTCTCATACTGCTAGACACAGAAGTTGTAAAGACCAGGGTAAATAGGCCATACAGAATGCTAAATTCAGTCATGAACCATCAAGAATACAAGACAGCAGTCCATACAGTCTGGAACCAACAGATTCAAGGTTGTGCTATGTACTCTATATGGAGCAAACTGAAACAGGTCCAACAAGCCACTAGACACATTCACCAGGAACACTCATCTGCTGAAAAAAAACTGCAAAAATTCAGAGAGGAACTGGCTGAAACACAAGACAAATTGAATGAAGACCATTTCAACAGACAGGAGATTCACAGAGAAAAACAACTCTTACAAAACATTGAGAAATGGGAAAAAATTCAAGAACAGGTTATAAGACAGAGATCAAGAGCAAACTGGATCCAACTGGGGGATAGTAATACAAAATACTTCCATGCATACATGAAATCGAGACAAGCAAGGAATAAAGTCAGCTATATTCTAACAGAGAACCAACAGAAACTTACTGATCCAAAACAGATTCAGCAAGAATTCATGCAATTCTTTCAAAACCTATTGGGGACAGCAGCATAGCAAAGTCCAGGCATTGACATCAATGTGGCCAGAGATGGCCCTTGCCTTAGTCTACACCAACAGCAACAACTGCTGAATCCAGTGACTGCATAGGAAGTCAAACAGACAGTACAGAACCTGCCTCAAGATAAAACTCCAGGTATTGACGGCTACCCTGCTGAATTTTTTAAAGAATTCTGGCCAATTGTTGGGGGGGAAGTTACTAGGGTAGCGAAGCAATTCTTCCAAAATGGGAAAATTCTAAAACAGATTAACTGCACCATTGTTACTTTGATCCCAAAAGTTAAAAATCCTAGCTATGTCAAAGAGTTTCGTCCCATAGCCTGCTGCTCTACTCTGTACAAAATCATCTCAAAGCTCCTAACCAACAGACTGAAACTGGTTGTAGACCACTTAGTAGGGCATTCCCAGTCAGCATTCATAGAAGGGAGAAACATCCTGGATAATGTAATTATGGCCCATGAACTGATCAAAGGCTATACTCACAATACAATATCTCCTAGATGCATGATCAAAGTCGACATTAGAAAGGCCTACGACTCTGTTGAATGGGATTTTCTGAAAGCAGTACTTCTAGAAATTGGAATTCCATACAAACTAGTCGTGCTGATAATGAAATGTGTTACCACTGTCAGCTACTCCATTCTATTAAATGGAGGACTGACCAACACATTTGAAACACGGAAAGGATTAAGACAGGGAGATCCAATGTCTCCATATCTATTTGTCCTAGTTATGGAATATCTAACTAGATCTCCAAAGAAACTGAGCAGGAATCCAGATTTTAACTTCCATCCAAAATGCACCAACCTACAAATCACACACATATGCTTTGCAGACGACCTTCTGATGTGCTGTAGGGCAGATGAAGTATCCATGAAACTACTGATGAAGGAATTTGAACACTTCTCTAGTGTATCAGGACTTCAAGCCAATACGGATAAAAGTTCTTTATATATAGCAGGTGTCTCAACTGAATTCAAACAGAAGATTTGTTCTGAACTAAACCTCACGGAGGGCACCTTCCCTTTCAAATACCTAGGAGTTCCCCTATCCACAAAAAAGCTCAATATATCGCAGTGTATGCCTCTAGTGGAAAAGATAGTGGACAGAATCAGAAGTTGGACATCCAAACTCTTATCTTATGCTGGTCGAATACAACTTATCAAGAGTATCCTGTTTGAAATGCAAACTTACTGGGCACATATATTCCTCATCCCAAAAAAGATCATAAAACTGGTCAATAGGATTTGTAGGAATTATCTGTGGACTGGTAGTCATGAAAATAGCCATAGGAACCCGATTGCCTGGGAAACAATGTGCAAACCAAAGGAAGCAGGAGGTTTGAACATTATTTCTTATGAAAGATGGAATAAAACAGCTTTGTCAAAACTCCTCTAGGCTTTAATGGCAAAGAACGACAAACTCTGGATCAAATGGATCCACTGTCACTACATAAAGAAGAAGGACCTTAATACAATGGAAATTCCTAAACAAACTAGCTGGCTCGTTAGGAAACTGATTGGAGCAAGGGAATGGTGGGCAAATGATGAAACAAGAATGCAAACATGTACTCAAAATGGGCAATTTAGCATCAGAAAAGCATACATTCATACCACCCCGCAATACCCCAAGGTCTAATGGAAAAACTTAGTGATGGTGACTGGCATGCTCCCAAAACGGAAACACATTTTATGGATGGCACTGCACAAGCGACTGGCAACAGTTGACAGATTGGTTAGATGGGGCCTACAAACTAATACATCTTGTGTCCTATGTGAAAGAGATATTGAAGAAACACATGATCATTTGTATTTTGAATGCGTCTATTCCAAAACACTGTGGAAAGGTATGTTACATTGGATGAAGTACCAAAGAACAATTGGTACATGGGAATCAGAAGTGCAATGGTTGTCGGGCAATGTCAATAGCAGGAATCCCAGAAAAGCCATCCTTGGGGTGGTGTTTGCAGCAGTAGTCTACGCCATCTGGGCGGAAAGAAACAACAGAAGATTTCAACAGCTGAACAGAACCAGCCAAGATCGAGCAAAGGAGATTACAATTCAAGTGCACATTGCTGGAATGAAACACTCGAAATGGAATCCCATTCTACAGACTGTGAATCACTATCCCTTATGTGATTCTTTGTAACACTTTCTTTGTCTGTAATAGAAAAAATAGTTTAACAACATAGTTGTGACGTTTACTATTTGATTGTAATTCTGAGATCTGTTCTAGAGTCCAAATGAACAGCTGATGTAAATTGCTAATGGTTGAAATAAAATTTCTTTTTGACCAAAAAAAAAGATCATGTGAATAAATTTGTTGAGGTCACTTGGACAGAACCCACACCCGATCATGTGAACATAAGCGTCGAGCTCATAATTGGTATAGTGATGGTAATAGGAAAGAGTTGATAAAGACTCTCATAATTGGTATAGTGATGGTATGCATACTTATTGCTGTGATTGTGGCAATGCATTATCCAGAAAGATTGCCTCTTTGCACTCGCTTGGACAATAAATTTTCTGCTTCCTACGGTAAGCTGTGAGAGGAACTTGCGTGAAACCAGTATTGACTAAATTAGGCCGATAAACTGTCCGATAAGAGTTAAACCGATATCAATCCGCCCGATATCTTATTGGATGGTTAGCCGATAACCGATAAGCCAAACCATTAAGAGTAAATAACCGTCCAATTCGTCCGATAAATAGCCCTACATTAAACCATTAACTCGATATTAATAAGTCATTAAGCTTCAGTTTCAGTTCGGTTTTCGATTTCGATTCGGTTTTGAACACCCCTAATGACATGTTTAGTACTCTTTAATATCTACAGCGGAACGAAATGCAAATATAAAATAAAGGGGTTAGATTGCTACAAATATATATTAAAAAAATTGGTTGTCTACTACGAGAATTCATATCTCGCTTCTTTATTAAATCTTCATGTTATGTAATTTTTATCTGAGAGATTTATATTTTAAGATTATTTGTACATGATTCTGACAACCTAAATCACAATTTGAAATGATTTGTCTGCAATTCGCACGGGTACCGATACTAGTATAAGTTAACATATATGTTCAAATAACCGAAATAGCTCTTTGAATTTGGTGATTTGTATATTCAAGTCATTAACTTAAGTATGAGTTAAAAAAATGGTTGTGATGCGACTACTTAAATTATGATACATGTCATGAGTTTCAACTATGGAATCACTCACTAATGCTTGCATCGGGGTTTACCACCTACATCAAACCCTATTGGAGTATGATCCTCCCCAGGTCATGGATAAATGCGAAATGCTTTGTGGGTCCGGATACACTTGAATTTACATAATTTATATTAATGTCATTATTATAATGCTTGTATTGGTCTAAATTTGGACGGCCTGATATCTGCAAATAAATAGGGTCGAGGGAAGAGTCGACCACTCTACAATAGCTAGGAGCCATCTCAATGAGGATTATTGCCGAGGTCAAGAGAATGTAGCAAAGAAGTAACGGTAGGATAGCTCAGCAATACACATAAGGAATATTCATATGGATATTCCTTATGTTGTACATTTTAGGGTTTCTTAGAAACATCACTTCTAAATAGGAAGAATTACGATATAAAAGGGAAACTTTACTTCTTAATAAGAGCACTTTGTAAAAAGTTAACTTGAAAGAAATATATAAATATTTGGACGAACTCACCGATGCAATGGCAGGGCACTAGTTGTTGAGATTTTTGGACGCCTACTCATGTTACAACCAAATCCTCATGGAGAAGGAAGACTAAGAGAAGACAACTTTCATCACCCATCAGGGAACGTGCTGCTACAGAGTCATGCCACTCGGGGTGAAGAATGAAGGGGCGACTTATCAAAGGCTGGTCACCAAGATATTTAAGGACCAACTCAGCAAAACAATGGAAGTGTACATAGATAACATATTGGTCAAATAAAAAAGGAAGGAAGACCACATCGACCGCCTGAAAGAAGCCTTCGATATACTAAGGCAATACGATATGAATGTAAACCCCGAGAAGTGTGCCTTCGGGGTAACTTCAGGCAAGTTCCTCGATTTTCAGGTATCACAAAGAGGCATCGAGGTCAATCCCGACCAGATCAAAGCCATCGAGGGAATACCTAAAGTATTGACCCGGAAAAAACAGGTACAAAAACTAACAGGCCATATAATTGCTTTGTTGAGGTTCATCTCATGATCCTCTGACAGATGCCACAAATTCTTCAATGTACTCAAAAAGGACAACGGGCTCTAATGGAATTTAGAATGCATCAAGGCCTTATGAACTAAAAGCATACTTGTCCTCGCCTCCACTACTCGCCAAAGTAGAACCCGACGAATGCCTCTTGGTATACTTGGCCGTATCAGAGGTCACAGTAAGAGCAGTATTGGTCTGTGAAAATAAGGTATGCAATCTCCAATCTATTACATTAGCAAAACTTTGGTCGAAGCCTAAACGAGGTACCTCACCTCGAAAAATTAGCCTTGGCATTGGTTATAGTTTCACGAAAGCTTAGACCCTAATTTCAGTGCCACTCCATATCAGTGGTGACGAACTTCTCCCATACGGAGCATCCTACATAAATCTGAACTATCGGAGAGATTGGCCTTGTGGGCCATAGAATTAAGCGAGCACGATATAACATATCGGCTGCAAAACAATGATAACATTGCAGGTACTCGCCGACTTTAGTGCCAAAATAATGCCCGAGGTCGAGCAGGAAACTTTTTGTACCTTTCCCATGTTACCTGACCAATGGGTCCTATACACCGAAGGCACGTGCAACGCATCAGGATCTGGACTAGGACTTGTAATCGAGGTCCCAACAAGTGAAGTTATCCGCCAATCCATACGGTACCCCAATATGACTAAAAATAAGGCCGATTATGAGGCCGTAATTGCAGGACTAAAACTAGCTCTCAAATATGGAGCACGACGAGTCATCCTCAGATGCAACTCACAACTCCTAGTCAACCAAGTGACAAG